TTTGGAGCTGCTCTGCGTCCAGCTTCCCCGATTCAGCTGCTGCTGAAACTGACCAGCAGCGACTGAATCAGGGACGCCTGGGGCAGAGCCAGACTATCGGAAGGAGGGGCTATGAAGGGTCTGGGGTCAGACCCCTCATAGCCCTCCCTTCTGATAGTCCGGCATATCTGATAATCCGGCACCCCCTGGGTCCCAAAGGTGCTGGATTATCAGAAGTTTACTATTCCAGGTTCAAGAGGGAGTCCAGTACCAGGTGGCATGGTCATGTGTCTTCTTAGAACCAACCACAGTTTGGACTTATAGGACAAAAAGGCCATCCACAGGTCGTTGGTTTGAATACAAAGTCATTAGTTACCTGAAGTATCACTAATAGCTCTCATTAGCACATTTAGAATTATAAACAGATCCTCATTTCATATTTCTGACCGCATACAAGAATGATACATGCACAAAAATAGGATATACAAATTCAGCAGATTGTAACAGTAACATTAAAAAGCTGCATGACCTGTTTTGCATAAGGCATCTTTTTTGTTTTTGTTACCCCTTCCTGTCTTCTCTCTCGTCCTTTCTCCCCTTTCTTTTTATGGATTATTTGTAATGTTGTCTTTCAGTACATGCTGTACCTCCCTAAACCGGTTCTCTCTGGTCTAGCAACGTCAACGATCCAGAGAGCCCTGAGACACTGGCACCGGGAGGAGGGGCAGCATGGCCAGGTGCCCCATGGCGGGGGGGGAGACCAGCAGGACAGGGCAGGGGAGGCACACCCAGGAGCCCTGTGGCAGGTGTGTGTGTGTCCAGTGGTGTGGCATGGAGCCCTGCAGCAGGGGGCAGTGAAACAGTGTGGGGAGCTCGTCAGTGGTGACCAGGAGTTGTGCAACCGAGAGCCCACTGCACCGGGGTTCAGTAGTGTGCCTGGAAGGGGATCCAGCCAAGGCCAGCAGCATAGCTGACTGGAGGCAGGAGGACCAGCTGGAGCCAGAAGCAGAGCCAGCAGTGGGCTGGCAGGCCAGCGGCAGGGGACCTTCGCTGGTCTGGCACATTCCCTCATTCATGACCCAGGGTGCCAGACTCGGGAAGTCCAACCTGCATCTGTGTTCTTTTTTCATTTTCTCCCCTCGAGACCCTTCTCTCTCTTTCTTACATTTTATCTGCCACCTCTGGATTTTTTGTGTCTCCTGACTTCTCCCTACCAAAAATATCTCTCAATACTAATTTATCCCATCAATTTCTTCCTCCCTCTCTTCCACCCAACGCGAGTAGATGAATAACTAACTGTACATTTGACTATTTCAAAGGTAACCAAGTGAGACTTGGAAACCGAATGTGATACATCCTCCCTCTTCACTTCCAGTAAAGGTCTCCACAGTGACCGCTTTAATGTTGAATGTGTTACATCCCCCCTCTTCACTTCCAATAAAGGTCTCCACAGTGACCGCTTTAATGTAAAGCAACTGCTATGACCTATAAGAGCCATGTAAAGAGTGGCTATAACCAGTTCCATTTTATGCAAACTAGGCATGACTTGGCAAGCTGTTCACCTGGACAGACTTTTCATACTCCAAACTTAATGCCCTAAATATTTGCCTGAACCCCATTAATATGTCGTTTGGTTTGATACCTTATTCGGGGCAGTGATTGTGCTGGTCAGTATCCTATTTTTCTAACGAGTTTCACACTGAAGAGCAGTAAAGTTTGGTGACTGGAATTGGCATCAGAGCATGAGAGAGAACGCCTGAAATACTTGTAATTTGACATTTAAAATACTAATAAGGCAGCTTACAAGATTATCTAATTCTGTATTTCTAAAATTCTTTGGTAGTATGTTGAAGGACTGTGATTGCTTTGTAATATAGAGGTGCAAACAAAAATAATATTAAAAACCTTTTGAAATGAGATAGGATGCAGCCCACCGTTTGGAAATTGTCTTATATAATGACAGCGATCAAGAACTCAGTAGAGGAAATGACTGAGGAATTTGCTTTTGAGGGAATGTGATGAAACTGCTGATTTGAGTTCTCAAATGTGTGAAGAAAATGCATGACTAATTATAAATTAACCGGTAAGGAGTGAATAAAGGAGATGGGACAACAACTTTAACTTATGCATGCTTTTTTCCTTTCTTGGCATGCAATATTGGTACTTATTTTTTAGAGTAGTTTGTCTTGCCCTCTATGTTTTAGGCATTTTTTTTTAAATTTGAAGTTCACCTACTGGCATTCCTTGACATGAGGAATATCTTTGCAGAATGGAAATGTATTGTCGGGAGCTGACTGAGAGATTTGAGGATGTTTGGATAGTTTCTGGACCTTTGACCTTGCCACAGACAGGGGATGATGGGAAAAAAAGAGTTACTTATGAGGTAGGTATCTATGCTGTTACTAAACTGAATGTCACTGTCCACAGTATCCTTATATGAGTCATATACTAAATTGAATGTCACTGTCCACAGTATCCTTATATGAAACAGAAGCATATAAACATAATTATCTTGCAGCTTGGTTAAAACAAAATTAAACTTTTTAATCCTTGAAAATGTTGTAATAAACATTAGCACTATTGTAGCTAGCCTACATTCTGAGATTGTGCTACTGCACCTTCTGTTATAAAATCCTTTGTTTTATTCATGTACCAGAGGGCATTTAAATGCTTCTTTATAAAGCTGTTTTAAAACTGTACTTTGTGCTTCTGTGATGCAAGATAATTGCTAGGTAGAGGGCCAGTGGGGCTTGCTGATGTATATGTATCTATTTAATCATTTATTTATATATTCTTTAAAAATGCACGTCTCTCGTCACAATGCTAACACAGCGTGGGGTTTTCAAAGCCACATCAGGGTTTTGGGTATCCTGTTCCTGTTAATTATTTGCCAAAATCCCCTTGACAGCAGTTTAAATATCAGCCCTAAAGTGTTATCTAAAAGTCAGTAAAGCCAGCTGAAAGGCATCAGTTGAGTTCAGTGGGCTTCAGATGCAGCCTTACCACTGTAACCTTTGTCCTCCCTCCCTGTTACCCCTTATTTTATATCACACACATTGATGCCTGAAAAGTTCATTGAAATTTTGGACAAAGTCTTCAGAACTTATTGCATTACAAGCCAAGAGACTGAAAAATGCTGTTTAGGTGACTGATAGCCCCACCTCCTTTTCTTGACCAACTACTCTTATTCTTAAAGGTAAGCATGTGTATAAGTTCTTGTAGGAACGGTTCAGGGCAGAGACTAACGTTGACTGTACAGTACCTAGCACAATAGGACCTAATCCTGCCTAAGGTCTTTGGGTGCTAGTAACATATAAATCCATAATAATTCATATTTTTCATCTTCAGAGATAAAGTTTTACAAGCTTTAATTGTTGCAATATTCCGGTGAGGTAGGTAATTGCTGTCCTCGTTTTACAAATACAGAAAGTGAGTGGCTAAGTGACTTGACCAAGCCATGCAGCGAGTCAGCAGCAGAACTAGGATTAGAATGTTCTGGAGTCCCCCCTTATGTATAGCTCACTGGACTTTGCTTCACTTTGATTATCATGACGGTTTAGTTTCAGTTGTTTATCGTTTAAAAAATATTATCTTGGATTATTAAGAAATTAACAATCAGTTGGGAATCAGAGGGTGGATCCCAGGAATATTTTTAAAATGACAATGATTTTCCAGCAAGCTGTAGAATTGTTCAGAATCCAGCAGTTGTTTCTACTGTGTTGCATTTTAGTAGGGATTTAAAGGGTTAACCAGTTGCCCGGTAAGCATTCACCTTAACGGCATGCTTACCAGGTTAACCCGCACTTAGCCTGACCGGAGCAGCCCCACGGAGGGGTGCAGCGGGCCGCCCCTGCCTGGCTGGAGCAGTCCTTGATACAACAGGCCAGTTAACCGGTTAAACATACGGTTTAACTAGTCAACATTTTAAACAGGATTTTACACCCCTATGTTTTAGTCAGCATTTTTCAAATTGTGTCTTTGAAGGAACATCTCCTCGTAGTACATAGAAAAGGAAGGGAATATTTAAAAACAACACTCTGTGACTCTGTCAGTTTTGAAATGTTAATGTTAGTGCACTGCAGGAAAAAAGTAAGAGCAGGATCTGTATCTTACGGCCTTTATTTCAAATAATTTGATGACAACATATTATGATTGAATAATACAGTGGCACAATGTGTCCCTGCAGCTTTGATTACTGCATTTTGTTCTAGTCTGGTGCCAAGACGTCTTCATCGTCCCTGGGTTTGACGACAGCTCATGTCTTTCATAAATGTTGTATTGGTTTTGGTTTTGATACAAGCTATGAAGTGAAGTTCGATCTTATGAGAGTCTGGAATAGGAAATGGCAAGGTGATGGTCACAATTATAAACCCTTTTAGTAAATTGCCTTTTTCCAGAATGAGATACCATGGATAGATTCCTTTGCCACTTAAATTTTTGTATTCCCAAACTAGCATCTATTTAGTTGGGGAACAGGAGTAATGCAATTAGTTTTACTATTTGAATTATTTCAATTTAAAATCTTTAATTATGCATATGCATGATCATTTATTTTCTGTGGTGTTTTGGATGTATTCAAAAGGGAATAGAATGTAACAGAAAACAAGTTAGGTTTCAATCCAATATGATTGTAATTTGGCTGTTGTTCTGCTTCTAAAAGTTATTTAGAGGAACTTGCAGTGTTTTCAAAAGCTGTGAATTTGTTTGTTTGTACTAGCATGAATACTAGGTGCTTCTTGGTGCTTGATTCTCTTTGAAATTTGAGAAGAGACTCAAAGACTCTTAATAGGAACAATTTGCATATTGACCAAGCCACTTGTGTTTAGCTGCTTCTAAAGGGTTCATTCTCTTAGTGTAAATAAAATATACACTGAAAATATCTAAAATTTCCCAGTTTTTGTCATTGTAGATATTGTTTCTAGTAGAGACTTCTTCGCTGTCACCAGGAATTTGTCCTTTGGGGAACAAGACTTTGGAGTGTAGCAATTTTTTATTCAGCAGTAAAATCTAATGCTCTCTCCTTAAATGGGTCATAATTTGCCAAATCACACATAAAAGTTCATTGATATCTGATTCCTGTGAAGTCAGAGGAGTTCTGCTATTGATTCCATCGGCCAGGATTTCACCCGTACAACTAGGAACCCAAAGAATTTGTTACTGAGCAATAATTGGTGGATACGCTTTTAGCCATCTTTCAGTAGCGACATGCCTTGTGGTCAGACCAGTGACCTAGAAATGGAAGGTTCCATAATCCACAGCCAACCCCTTATCTCTTTTTTGATGTGGATGACATGGGAAAATGTCATTCTTTTGAAGTTGGTTAAAGAGGCATGTTGTAGAGTAGATTCAAGCATTGCAATTACATACTAAGGATATGTCTGCACTGCCATCCTAGTTTGAAGTAGGGTGGCTATTGTAGGCATTCAAACTTGCAAATGAAGCCCGGGATTTAAATATCCCGGGCTTCATTTGCATGTTCACGGGTGGGTGCCATTTTTAAATGCCCGTAGTTCGAACTACCTGCTACATGTGGCACGGACTAGGTAGTTCTAATTAAAGCTCCTAATTCGAACTACTGTTATTCCTCCTGCAAGGAGGTGCCCGCCCAGGAACATGCAAATGAAGCCCAGGATATTTAAATCCCGGGCTTCATTTGCAAGTTCGAATGCCTACATTAGCCACCCTAGTTCGAACTAGGGTGGCAGTGTAGACACACCCCAACAAAGTAAATGCTGTGGCTGGGTTTCTGACATCTTTATGCTCCTATACTGTTTTCTTTTGTGAAGCAAAAAATGTGGAAGTACTAAAACATGTATGTATGCATTAATCTATTTACTGACCTACTCTTCAGTTTTCGTTTTCTTCTTGGCTATTTGAGTGGTGAAATATAGATCCACGGGTGGCAAGGCCGATGTTTTTCTCATCATGGATGTCCCCAAAACATTATTTTTAGATCATTGTAGAGGAAAGTCAGAGCAGCAGCCGTGGCATTGTTCCCAGTTCCTGCTTGGACTGCTGTGTCATTTGCCTTTTAATTCCAGAAAGGAATTAACCTCAAACTCCTTATATGCCAATGCTTTTCTGTCTATTGGCTGAACTTGCTGTGTCCCAAGATAAATTCTGTCAGCACATCTGCCTCCAATGGAAGCTTTTATTGCAAAAGATAGATTGATGACCATGCTTGGTGTTTGAGAGATACATTTGTAGAATATATATACACAAATGTAAAATAGAATGCCAACAGGAAGAATCTGTTCTGTGTCACTGGAGAGGCAGATGCAGGTTTTTCATCTTTGTCCAGAGCAAATCAAACTGACATTGTCTTGTTTTATATATTACTGTTCTCCACTGAATGTGAGTTTAGTGATTTTCCTCTGCTGGCAGATTGTTGGTTTTAAATATGACTTGTACTGTAATTTTATTGCATCACATTCCTTTGTTCGCCATAGAATCATACTAAATTATAACTAACTTTTTCAGCAATTGTTGTCAACAGAAGTCACCATCTTGTTTATTTCACACAAGGCATTTTGCTTGAGGCTTTTTTTTAAATGAAGTATTTACTATTTACTGGACACATTTCTTTTGTTCAATGTTTAAAGATGTTTAAACAGAATTAATGTTTTCCTGACACACGGCAGAGACCAACTATATGAGTTGGGGTGTACTGCTGTCATCTACACCAGCAATTGAGGAGTAGGTGATTAAAATCCTAATAGCACCTCTTCAGGTGTGTGATGGTGATGTAAAGATGTTTGGGAAACATCTCTGATACAGCCGGAATAACTCTCCTGTGGGTCTGGAACCATTAGATTTTGTGGAACCCTGGGGTTTGGGATGTGGAAATGGGCTCAGGGCTGAGGCAGGGGATTGGTGTGAGGAAGGGGGTGCAGTTCCAGGTGGTGGGATGGGCTCAGGAGTGGGGACAAGGATGTGGTTGGAGGTTCAGGGTGTAGGCTGTGAGCAAGAGTTGGGGTATGAGAAGGAGTCTCAGGGCTGGGATAGGAGGGTGAGGATCTGCTGGAGAGGCCAGGCCGCTCTGTGCAGTGCAAGCTGCCCGTGTCCACCGGCGCTGCTCCCACACACCCCATTGTCTGCTCTTCCTGGGCCGAGCGAGCTACGGCACCAGCACTGCGGACAGGGCAGCATGCAGAGATTCCCTGAATGCCCTTCACTTAGAGGCTGATGGGGCATTGTGATTCCAGCCCTGCAGGGGTGGGAGAGGCTCGGTGACTGGTGTCCGGCTTACAATGCAGAGACTTGGCATGGACTGAATGAAAAGAAGCAGTGGGCCACATCCGACCCCCTGAGCCTAAAGCCTTAAACTGCAGCCCCTAAAGCCACTGAGTTCATCCAGCCCTGCTCTCAAGGGTTTTCATTGAT